CCGCAAAACAACCAAAGCCCAAAGTGTCTGAGCAGACACCTCTAACTCATGTAAACCAACCAACAACCCGGCCAGACGGAGACAGAGAGAAAGAGAGAGGGAGAGAGAGAGAGAGAGAAAGTATGCGTCCGTGTGTTTGTGCGTGTGCGTGACTTAATAGGGCCCTGTTAACCGCCTGTGCGGGTTTTATTTGGTGTGACATTCCCTGCACGAGATCTTCTATATTGCTATTCAACCACATCAACAACCATGTCTCGAACTACAAAGACGCGTGCATCCTCAGACTAACACAGGATGCGCCCCACACGCGCAGGTCCCTCCTAGTGTCATTCATATGCAGCAGAACACGTCACAGTGAGCGGGGTGTAACCGCAAACACACCACACACGCACCACCCCATATGGCGCACCATGTGCAAGCATGCGTGCACCCCGGTGTGGGCGGTCCAACACGAAAACTGGCAATGCTACGCACCTCAAACTAACACAGGATGCGCCCCACACGCGCAGGTCCCTCCTAGTGTCATTCATATGCAGCAGAACACGTCACAGTGAGCAGGGTGTAACCGCAAACACACCACACACGCACCACCCCATATGGCGCACCATGTGCAAGCATGCGTGCACCCCGGTGTGGGCGGTCCAACACGAAAACTGGCAATGCTACGCACCTCAAACTAACACAGGATGCGCCCCACACGCGCAGGTCCCTCCTAGTGTCATTCATATGCAGCAGAACACGTCACAGTGAGCAGGGTGTAACCGCAAACACACCACACACGCACCACCCCATATGGCGCACCATGTGCAAGCATGCGTGCACCCCGGTGTGGGCGGTCCAACACGAAAACTGGCAATGCTACGCACCTCAAACTAACACAGGATGCGCCCCACACGCGCAGGTCCCTCCTAGTGTCATTCATATGCAGCAGAACACGTCACAGTGAGCGGGGTGTAACCGCAAACACACCACACACGCACCACCCCATATGGCGCACCATGTGCAAGCGCGCGTGCACCCCGGTGTGGGCGGTCCAACACGAAAACTGGCAATGCTACGCACCTCAAACTAACACAGGATGCGCCCCACACGCGCAGGTCCCTCCTAGTGTCATTCATATGCAGCAGAACACGTCACAGTGAGCAGGGTGTAACCGCAAACACACCACACACGCACCACCCCATATGGCGCACCATGTGCAAGCATGCGTGCACCCCGGTGTGGGCGGTCCAACACGAAAACTGGCAATGCTACGCACCTCAAACTAACACAGGATGCGCCCCACACGCCGCAGGTCCCTCCTAGTGTCATTCATATGCAGCAGAACACGTTCCCAGTGAGCAGGGGTGTACCGCAAACACACCACACACGCACCACCCCATATGGCGCACCATGTGCAAGCATGCGTGCACCCCGGTGTGGGTGGTCCAACACGAAAACTGGCAAAACTACGCACCTCAAACTAACACAGGATGCGCCCCACACACGTAGGTCCCTCCTAGTGTCATTCATATGCAGCAGAACACGTCACAGTGAGCGGGGTGTAACCGCAAACACACCACACACGCACCACCCCATATGGCGCACCATGTGCAAGCGCGCGTGCACCCCGGTGTGGGTGGTCCAACACGAAAACTGGCAAAACTACGCACCTCAAACTAACACAGGATGCGCCCCACACGCACGGGCACCCATTGACACGGGTCGCAAGTGCCACACTTCGTCGCAGTGAGTAAGAAAAGGTCAGAAACGATGAACGCACACCCCGCCATGTGGTATGCCGTGTGCGCAGTCTTACAGAGGTCTTGACGAACAATTGAGATGTCCTCCTACGCTGTGATGAGCCTGGTCAGCTTGCTTGGCTGAAAGGACTGGGCAGATCGCCTGCACAACCGGTGGCCAGTGGTGTTATGTGAGCGTCGTGCATGAGCAGAGAAACAACGCATCGGCACGACACTGGCATCAGCATGCACGCCCACGGGGAAAGTGAACGAACAAACAAGCAAGCAAGCAAAAATACATAGAAACAAACACACATATGCATACACACACAGGAGCGCATGTTCATTCACGTGAACAACAGCTCAACGAACCAGGCTGTAGTTTGGTCGGAGTCACGTCGACAGAGGCAACCGAGCTTCGGCCACCCACCATCTTCTCGCGGATGCGCGGGTTTGGTGCCTGATGTTGACATTCCTCTTGAGCTT